GCCGCTCATGCCCACGTCCCGAGGGAGAAGCGGGCAGCTCCGGTTCCCCCGGTGCCCCGGCTGTGCTGCGCAGTAACCGGGTTGGTGCGGGGCACAGGGCACGGCTGAGTTCCCAACCGAACAAACAGCTGCCATTGCCAGCCTCTCGGTGTCGGCCATCTCCCTTCCCAGGCCGTGCGGGGGGCAGACACCCCCTGGGAAGCTCTGGTGTGACACGGCTCTGGTACGGCTCCTCGTGGAATGATCCCCCGGTGCCCCGGCTGTGCTGCGCAGTAACCGGGTTGGTGCGGGGCACAGGGCACGGCTGAGTTCCCAACCGAACAAACAGCTGCCATTGCCAGCCTCTCGGTGTCGGCCATCTCCCTTCCCAGGCCGTGCGGGGGGCAGACACCCCCTGGGAAGCTCTGGTGTGACACGGCTCTGGTACGGCTCCTCGTGGAATGAGGTGTACCGGTAGTTCGGGATAGGAAGCCTAGTCCGAACTACCTAGTTCGTGCCGCGTGTAGCCGCGCTGCACGGGGTTCGAACCAGTGGGGATTTAAAAATGGCAACGCCCAGCTTATGCAAATGAAGCCTGGGAAATTCAAATCCCGGGCTTCATTTGCAAGTGCGGTATGCATACATTACCCTCCTCGTTCGAACTAGCAGGGTAGTGTAGACAGACCCTCACAGACTAACTCAGCTACCCCCTGAAACTGACTCTTCTTAGGTTCTTATATTCTTATGTCACGGGCTCTAGGGGTTAGGGTTGGCACTGGGACGTTCTGGGGGCTGGAGTTTTTGGCAGACCAGGAATATTTATTTGCATATTTGAATATTCAATATGTGCATAATGAATATTCAAATGTGCACAAGAGTTTGTGCCGGGGTTGGCCGGTCCCCAGTATCGAATGTGGGGGAACCAGCTGTGACGTAGTGGGGGCACTTGCTGGGCTGTGGTGACCCCTGCTGTCTGGAGCAAGACCCAGCAGGGAAAATCTCGCTAGGAGCAGCTGCTGCACTCCATCTCTGCTGTTGCTACAGGGCACCGCAGCCTGGCCGTGCTGGTCACAGGAGTTCACGAAGAGGGGATCAATGACTTCACCATGAGCACCCTGGTGGACGGCGTGCGGGTGGCGCACTACAGCAGCCGGACGCGGGAGGTCCGGCCCACCCAAGGCTGGGCAGCGCAGGCCCTGGACGCTGGGTTTCTCCAGAAAAAGACCCAGGAGTTCTGGGGGCATGAGGAGGGCTCTAAAGCCCAGACCCAGAGGTGGATGCAGCTGTACAACCAGACGGGCGGTGAGTGACTGAGAGCGACAGGCTGTGAATGGGCACGAGAGGGCTGCCCGCCCAGAATCCCTGCCCTGGGGATCGGGGCCTCGCTGGGCTGGGCGGAAAAGGGGGGTTTCTCCCCACAGAGGGTCTGTTGTTCCCAGAGGTGTTTTCAGTCCCGCTCGCAGGGGGAGTGAGAGGTGGGGGGTTCTACAGGGCGAATGTTTCAGAGATTCCGTCTCCGGAGAATCGCGCAGACCCGGATCCCCGCTCCCGCGGGATCCGCCCTCCAAGGAGCACAGCCCCAAACTCTGGAGAAGAGCCACTGGCCAGGGAGCACTACCCCCAGAGCTAGGGATGGTGGGGTTGAATCCCACTTCCCCCAGGAGATGTGGGGTGCACACCTCCATCTTGCCAGGGCTGCAGCTGGTGCCGGGCCAAAGGGGGCCGGGATAAGGCATGCAAGGAAGGTTGGGTGGCCCTGGTGTTATCTTGGAGCCCTACCATGTCCCACCCGCCCACAGACACCTGGCTTGAGCTCTCTCCATCCCTTGTAGGGGTCCACACTGAGCAGCTCCATGCGCGCTGTGCCTTGGGGGACCAGACCCCCAACTACTTGAGATTCCAGTACGCCTACGACGGGCAGGATTTCATCAGCTTTGACCTGCAGACGGGGACGTGGGTGGCGGCCGTGCAGCCAGCCGTGTTCCAGAAACAGTACTGGGAGACGCACAAAATCTGGACGCGGTACGTCCAGTGGTTCCTGCAGCACGAGTGTCTGGAGATCCTGCGGAGCCTGGTGCAGCAGGGACAAGGGGTCCTGGAGCGGCAGGGTGAGTGAGCTGCAGGGATCTGTCATGGGGGAGGCTGGGGTGGGATGCGGTGACTACAGAGGGAAACAGCTGTTCCCCCAAGAACTGTGTGGCCAGGCAGATGGTACCAGGGGCTGGGTTTCTGGATTTTGTGCCGGTCCCTTCTTTGCCCCCTAGTGCCTCAGTTTCCCCATCAGCAAAGCAATGGCTTCCACACCAACCTCCTTTGCGAAGCACTTTGAGACCGAGCGATGGGAGGGGCCAGACGGGAGCTGCGGGTTGTTATTGGAGCAGATGGGTCCTTAACCGGTGCTGGTTCCCTGGTGTCCACGCTCCACAGGGCCTTTCCCCTGGGCGCCCAGCTGCCTCCGTTTCCCCCGCCAGACTGAGACCCCCCAGCTCTGGGCTGCGAGTTGATTGTGTTGGCACATTGCAGCCGCAAAGGGCCCTGCAGTCTGGGAGGGAGAAGAAGGCAGGATGTGGGGAGAAGGGGACACGTGTTGTCGTGATACAAAGGAAAAACCTGTTTGGAGTTTCTTGTGCCCAGAGCTGGCAGCCCCGCAGCCAGTGGCAGAGCAGGGACGGGGCAGGGACTCGGGTTACGATTCAAAAGCTTCAGAAGGGGAGCTGAGTGAGTCTGTACCTGGAAACACTTAAAAACCTGCAGCACCTTACAGAGCAACACGGCCTGCGATGGGGTCATGAGCTGGGTGGTGCCCACGAAAGCGCAGGGACCCATCTCCATGCTCGGTCAGTCTCGGAGGTGCTGCCAGAGTTACAGCTGTTCCACATTCATTCTTACACTGCAGTTAAGCCATGTCTCTCTCCCCAGTGCCCCCCGAGGTCTCGGTGTCCCGCAGAGCCGCCCCCCACGGCCCCGTCACCCTCTCCTGCCGCGCCAGCGGCTTCCACCCGCGTCCCATCCACCTCTCCTGGGTGCGGGACGGAGGCGACGTCCTGGCGGAGACGAGCTCCAGCGGGATCCTGCCCCTCGCCGACGGCACCTACCACACCCAGTCGTCCCTGGAGATCGGCCCGCGGCCGGACGGGCCCCGCTACGCCTGCCGGGTGGAGCACAGCAGCCTGCCCGCGCCCGCCCTCGTCTGGGGTAAGGGGAGGGGGCTGGGGGCTCAGCCCTCTGGGAATCGCAGAGATGGGGCGCGGCCTGGCAGTGTCCATGTGTGTGGCACAGCAGCCTGCCTGCGCCCGCCCTCGTCTGGGGTAAGGAGAGCAGGGGGCACCGCCCTGTGGGAATGGCAGAGATGGGGCCCGGCCTGGCAGTGTCCATCTCCCTGCCCACTGGCCGCGTGAACTAGGGATCTTACATTTCGAGTAATTGACTAATTGTATAGTCGATGGATATTTGCATCAACTATTGGACTAGTCGATAAGGACGCCTCCGCTTTTACAGTGTAGCAACAGTTGCTGGTGGCGTTTCAAAGCGGCAGCGCCACACAGAGCCTCGGGTCATCGGGGGAGTCTGCAGCTCACCTTGGGCTCCCTGCGGTGCTGCTGCTTTGAAGCCCTCTTTCCTCCCCCTCCCTGCCTCTTTCTGATAGTTCCATCGTCCTACAAGTATTGGGGTGCATTTGCTTCCTGGATAATCGACTAGTCGTTCACATCCGCAGTGTGAACTCTTCTAGTGCTGGGTATTCGTGTGATGCACAGAAATGGCTGAGCCCTCAGAGAATTTCAGTTTATTGCCATGGGGGTATCCAGTGGCAGTGAGTTCCACAAGTTAACAGTGTTTCACAGGAAAGGCCCAATTGCTGTGTGGTGTGTGTGGCTGGCAGGGCCCAGCAGAGCACCCATCCCCTGTGCCCCATCCCTGCCCCCCTCCCAGCCTGGCCTCTCCCCTCCCCCACAGGCCAGGTCTCTGCATTGTAAGGAGCTGTTCAAGGCCTGTGGCTGCCCCAGCAGAGCCCCCCCTCCTCCCCAGTGACTGAGCCCTTCTCCATCCCACAGCCCCTGAGAAGGGACCCCTGCCCCCCGGGGTCCTGGCCGCCATCGTCCTGGCCGTGCTGGGTCTGGCTGGAGCCGCAGGGGCCGGCGTCTGGCTGTGGAGGAGAAAATCAGCAGGTGAGAGCAGGTCCCTGCAGGGCTCGGCCATTGGGCTGTCGCCAGCTGGGTGGTGGGTGCCCCGCGGGGGTGGGGCTGGCCTGGGCGGGGAGCTGTGGGGGCCATGGGGAGCCCTGTGTCGGGGGGAGGGAGTCGGGGTCACCGTGGGGGAGGGGTCACCCTGCTCCCCTGCACTCACCCCCTTTCCCCGCTTGTGTTTCAGGCCATCACAAACCCGGCTACACCCCGGCAGCCAGTGAGCAAACCCTGGGAACGGGGCCTGGGTGCCCCAGTGCATGATGGGAGGGGGGGTCCCGTGGGGGGCAGAGGGGCCCAGCAGTGACTGCAGAGGGCTCGCGAGCTGGTGACTGGCTCTGACAGACCCCGGGCCAGTGGGAGCTGCCAGGCCGTCCCAGCCCCCCCCACCCTGGGATTCTATGACTCCCCCCACTGCCGCCGCCCAGCCCAGGCCCCAACGCGCTGCAGCCAAAGGTCACCCCTAGATCAGCGCTCAGCCAGCTCCCAGCATGCACCGGGGCCTTGGCGGGACACTGGGGGGGCAGCCAGCCGGGAGCTGAATCCCCCCTGGCTGGGAGCCCCCAGCTAACGCTGCCTCCGGGCCATTTTCTCCCCACAGCAAAGCCGGGAGAAGATTCGGCCTCCAACTCGGCCTTGGGAATAGAGACCAGCAGCGTGGGATCCCGGAGCTAGGGGCGGCCCTGCCCTGCTGGCCGGCAGGTCCCTGCCCAGTGACTCCCCCGGCCGGGGGCTCCCTGCTGCAGCTTGTTCATCCATCACCGACCCCTGGGACCTTCTCCCCGGCTTTGCCTCAGCTTCCTCCTGAGGGCCTGGGCCACCCAGTCTCTGCTCCCTGCCCAGGCCAGTCCAGGCCGCTCCCCTTTGGCAGGGCAGCAGCTGGTGGAGGCAGCCCAGCAGGCCCAGGCTGGGGCAAGGGGGCTCCGGGGGGCCGACGGGCCGGGCTGGGACCCA